ATAGTCCACGTCAGACTATTTCACAAAGTCAGAGCTATAGGAAAGCACCCTGCCCTTCATCTTCATGTTCTCCCAAATGCAACTTAGGATCTTTTAACATAGGTGGTTCTGTGATAACGTCAATGTTTTCCAAATCAAAGGAACACTTTAAAAAGTATGACCTATTTTTTAAGACTTTACAGCCTTTGAAATGGTTTCCACGCGATTGTTACGCCAGCAGTTCTCGTTTGTTTGTTTTTCAATCTCAGTGAAATGGCTCTTTGCTTTCGAGTTCTCACACAACGTACTGGGAAAATGACAATCCTCAACCGCTGGTATTTTCTAAGGGGTCTCTTCACTTTGATGAGTGACATGAATACCGTGTCTCCTTCTCTTGTGTGTACCTAAAGCCATATTTCCAAGTCTGTGGTACTCCAGGATTCCAGGAGTAAGCTTGTAGAAGAAATTTATTTTAAAAGAGATTGCTCTGAAATTTATCTTAAAAGAGCTTGCTCTGTCTACCTTGACAGAAATTGGAGTTTAAAAATTATGTGTTCATATTGTTATTTGCAGATTTCATTTCCATCAACTTAAACATTGTTGCCCTTCAACAAGGCTCTTGAATTCATAAAATTATAGTCTCTAAGAATTCCACATGTGATGGAAAGTTAGAGCCAAATCATTTTGAGTTAAGCCAGTTCTTAGCCTAACGCAAACTGCAGCTGTCTTTGAGCGTAAAGTAACACAACAGCGTTGCACGGGACCGGCAGTGCCGCTGCCTTCCCCAAAGGCTGCAACGCGGTTCTGAGAGCTTGGAGGAGGCACCAGCGAGGATGATGTTCAGTGGGGCTCTTTCTGTTGCAAAGAGCTCACATTATCAACACCTCGTAAGGAAAATACAGTGTCTGAGTTTTCATCGGTCTTCAAATGCTGCTATGTATTCCACAGACTTCCTTGCATGTACTGAGCTTTTTTAGATGGAATAGCACAAGGAGAAAAATCTTTAAACTTAGTGCTTTGTCTATTCTTTATTTCTCTCAGGGTGGCCAGTATTTTGACTTATTTATCCTGCTTGAAAGCTACTTGAGATGTGTACTGCTATTCTAAACACGTGATTCTAGTTTCTTTCATCTCTGGCATAAGATTATATAACTTAATGTTAAGTGTCTTGATGCATAAAAGACAAAATCTGGCTTTTTTTTAGGATCTGGTTTTTCATCGAGGTCTCGGGTATCCTTTTAAAGATTGTGAGAAGCAGACATTGCTCCTTGTGCAGCTCTAGTGCCTGCTGCCCACTGCTGTCATTTCAAGCCACTGGCAATGCTTCTGTCCTCGTGTCTTGGAGGAAAATCACCTGGGGGGAGGGGACTTCTTGTGTTAAGAGCAAGTGCAGGTATGAAATGCGAAGACTGCCCCAGCTAAAAGTGGACAAGTCCACTTTGTGAGATGAACACTTCCTGAGAAACTTGACGAGTATCTCTCCATTTTACCATTCTGAAAACTTATCATTCAAAAAAACAGTTTTGATGCCTTCTCCTTTTGAGGGAAAAAGGGTGCTTTTTATTGTATAAAGCAGCGTCTTATGTATTTTGATATACCATTGTTTGAACTTCCGTCTTTAGCTGATAGATTCTCAAATATCCTTGATTTTGGATGTTCAGTATGTTTGTGAGAGAGGTTTCTGGGAAGACTCTCTTTTCGCCCTAGGGAAAAAGCAAAATATCAATGTTTGGTTGACTGTGTAAAGCTCAGTGTGTAAGAACATCTTTTTGTCTAGGTTTTCTTTCTGCTCTTTATTGAAGACAAACACTCACCAAAAAGAAAAATAAAAGAAACCAATTTTCTTTGGCAAGAGTATTACTTAATATTCTGGCCTCCTAAAGGTTCCCTAGTTAGTACTTGGACTCCTGTGCTAATTGTCAGCTTACATATCATTGTATAGAGACTGTTTATTCTGTACCAAACTGATTTCAAAAGTATTACATTGAAAATAAACCGGTGACTGTTTTTCTTCATAAAGTTCTGCGTTTGGCATCTTCACTCTTTCCAGAATGTATCTGTACATCAGAAATGTCACTATTCCAAGTGTCTTTTTAGTGTGGCTTTAGTATGGCTTCCTTTTAATATTGTACATACATTGTATCTTTGTTTTATGGTAATAAGTAATAAAAATGTAGACTTCATATTTTGTACAAAATGTCCTATGTACAGAATAAAAAAATTCATAGAAACAGCAAATATAGGTAAGTGGCACAATTATTTTTCTTTAGAAAATACCTGTAACTTTATGCATTAGTGAAATGTTAAGTACCGACATATTTTCTAACATTTTGTAATTCAGAACTTTTTGTTTTGACCTTGTTTATGAAGAGAAACTTCAGACACCTGCCATTTAATATGCTCTTTTATCTAATTTTCAAAAACTAAGAGACGGTGTATCATATGGACGAAATAAAGAACATGTGAATTTTATTGCTCATCATGAAACTAAATTTAGCCATGGTGTTGGGCAAGCTGGCTCTGACGTGATCGGGTTCCCGTTAGGTCAGGGCCGCCCGCACGCAGGGACGCTGACTGCGGAGGGCCCGGCCATCTCCACCCAGCCCGCCGGGAGCGCTGACTGCACCAGCTGCTAGCCACAGCTGTTCAAAGCTAAGTCTATCCGCTGATTTTTTACTTAGTGGAAAAGGCAGTGTGCCTTTTTATAGACCACCTCTTGGTTTGGTTTGGGTTTTGGGGCTTATTTGAGTAGGAAAAGGTGAATCAATACAATTTATAGAAATGAAAGTCTTGAAAATAGGGAATTGCTGGAAGTATGAATTTGGGATCCTAGTTCACCCACCTCCTCAATGGAGAGAGCGTTATCCTCGCTGATGCTCTCGCGAGAAGCCCATGGAAACAGGACTAAAGTGTTACCTCCTCGTGTTGTGGTTATTACCTCACCTCTCCATAGCTGCGTGTGGTCAGCACGCCGGCTGGCGTGGGAGGGCAGGCTTTGTCCTTAGCTTCCTTCTCTCCCCAGTGGTGTCTGTGCTGCCTTCGCACTGACAGAGGTGCAGACGCCGTCACTCTGCGGCTGGGGCACATGGACGAGGCTGCGACCCAGGCAGAGTGTGGTCTTCGGCCCAAGGGTCCAGTAACTTTGCTGCTCCACTTCCACCTAAAAGTGGGCACGCCAGCCAGAAGACTCCACATCCTGCGCCGCTACCCAGATCAGTGTTCCACAGACTAGATGTTTGCCCGCTGCGGTCCTTATCCCCCATCTTAACACTGCAGGAAACCTGGTGTTTAGTAACTTCCTGCAGCACAAGAGTTCGAGAGGACTCACTCACAGAGGCATGCTGCGATTCCAGCCCAGCTGCACGCGGCTGCTATTTGGGGGTAGCAAGAAGCATAAAGGCAAAACGACTGGCTTCGTGTCTCCTGTGAGGGTTGGCAGCAGCCATCAGCAGTAATGACAAGGAGAACTCGTATTTCTTACCACTGCCTTTATGCCAGGAGCTGTGGTGGGTGCCTCATTTCCCTGGGTTAATTTACTTACTTCTCACAACCCACCAAATAATTTACTACTCTTATCCTCATTCACAAATGAGGAAACTGAGGCACACAAAGGTGAAGTCACTTGCCCGAGGTCACGCAAATACTGAGTGGAGCCAGGTTGCTACCCAAGCAGTGTGGCCTGGGGTCCAAGCCCCGACCATCACATTACATGGTGGAAATGCCTTCTAGATGGGCAGCGTCATGGGTGATGGTGAACACAGGTGAGGGCCTGGGGACATGCTCGCAGCACCATGTCAGGCCGTAGGAACACCCCCAGGTGGACAGTGTGAAGTTACGGTATTGTCAACCTAAAGGAAGAAACTGAGACAATTCAGGGAGAGGCCAGGCCCCACGGCTCATGTCTGTCATCCCAGCTACTCAGGAGGCTGAGGTGGGAGGACCACTTGAGCCCAACAGGTTGAGACTGCAGTGGGTCGTCATCTCACTACTGCATGCCAGCCTGGGCAACAGAGCAAGCAAGACCTTGTCTCAAAAAGAAGATACAGGGAGAGAGCTTATTTGGGCCAAGGTCGAGAGCTGCAGCCTGGGAAACACTTGCAAGCTGCCTTGAGAAATGCTCTGGGGGAGAAAAAGAGGCTTCAGCATTTAAAAGAGAAAGGACAGATCGGGAAGGGGGCAGTTACTCAGGTTGTTTTTCAGGAGTTCTCGCTGGTTGACAGAAACTCTTGATGAGTGATTGGCTATACATGGTTGAACTACAGGGCGCGAGATGCGGTGTCCAACATGTGGCATTGTTAGGTACATGCATAGCTACTGGTGCCAGTCTGCAGCCCACACAGCGAGCTTCAGGAGCTGATCTCCCAAGGCAGGAGGGGGAGCGGGGCGTGGGGGCTCACCTTCCTCAGGAAAAAAGTGTTTTCTTCTCATCCTGAACTCCAGGTGAAACCCTTGCATCTGCATTCACCACCACTTGACACTGGGGAGAACCCCGGGCCCTGCAAGGTCGAGGGGTAACCACAGTCATGGACCCCAGGGTCTGTCCTTCACAACCATTGCCCCATGGAGATACCCAGGGCCACCCAGAGCCCGTGCTTAGCCCCGACGTTGCACTGGGGAAGCAGCCCCTATGGAGACAGTGTCAAGGGACTGCTGTGACGGCTGCGGGCTCTGACGGTGTACTTGACCCCAGAACCAGAAGAGCTTGATTCTAGTCCAGTGGCTCCCCTTCCTCAGAGGCTATTTTGTTTGTTTGTTTGTTTTGTCTTGTTTTGTTTTTGAGACAGAGTCTCACTGTGTGACCCAGGCTGGAGTGCAGTGGCACGACCTCAGCTCACTGTAACCCTGCCTCCTGGGTTTAAGCAATTCTCCTGTCTCGGCCTCCGGAGTAACTGGGATTACAGGCGCCCACCACCACACCCAGCTAATTTTATATTTTTAGTAGAGACGGGTTTCACCATGTTGGCCAGGCTGGTCTCGAACTCATGACCTTGTGACCCACCTGCCTCGGCCTCCCAAAGTGCTGGGATTACGGGCATGAGCCACCATGCCCAGCCCGAGGCTTTTGTTTTTATGTAAGTTTAGATTTTATAAAACATCAGCATTTTTGTAAACAAACATGCTAAATTTCAGCACTTTGGAGACCACCAACACATTAGCCTCTATTCTCATTATATTACTAATGTGAACCTATAAAATTATCAAAGGTTCAGCTCTTATTTAATATGTAGTTTTATATAAGATTTCATTTGGAGGAAAAAAAAATGGATTCCACTGTCAAAAAGTTTGAAATGCACTAAGCTTAATTCAGCTTTTTTAGAGAAGGGAACAGACCTAGAGGTGCAGAGATGGGCCCACACTGACTGGAAGCCAAGTGTCCCTACTCTCATAAGACTTTCTGCTTCGTATAAAAAGCATGATGTAAATTCCACAGAACTTGGGGGTGGGGGTGCGGGCCACATAACTCCATAATCTCTAGAATTCCTATTTTCCTACTTACAGGTCTTCCTGCTCATGTCTGGTGTAGGGTGGTTGCCTTGAGGGGCTTCTAGAAATACACAGGTAAATAAATATAAGCTGGGGCTGGCCCAGGTGTACTGATTTGTGTATTTTTATAGGATAATATGTAACAAATGGATTACTGGCCAATCCAAGAGGGGTTTTTGTTTATGTTTTGGGACCTTTTGTGTTTTTTAGAGATAGGGTCTTGTTGCCCAGGCTGGACTCAGACTCCTGGGCTCAAGCGATCCTCCTGCCTCAGCCTCCCAAGTAGCTGGGACCACAGGCCTGTGCCACCACACCTGGCAATCCAAGAGTTTTTTGACCTGTCTTCTTAATTTCTGTAATAAAAGCAACCAGTAACATACTGTTGGTGAACAAACATGCAGCACAGCTGTGATGGAAAAAGACGAGTGGAGGGGGAATGAGGAGAATCAGTGCCCGGGAGCCCCAGAGATGCTAAATGAGCACTTTACAGCCAACAGCGCTGCTCAGGTGCTTCTGCCTCCCAGAAGCGTCGCACACACACCTGCCACCCCCGAATCAGAATATGGATCAGAGAGGGTGCCAAGCAAGGGGAAAGATTAGGCCGGATCCTGGTGCTGAAGCATAACATGGAGAAGTCAAAGGCTGACATTCTCCCCGGCTCCTCCCTCCCTCCCTTTCTCAGGTGTGGTGACCTCATCTGTCTTCATTTCTGCCTCCAAAACAAGGCTCCCTTCCTGCTGCCGAGCCCCCTGCTGACTCTCCCTTGGGTTCCCCTCTGTGTGCTGCCCTAAGCTGGAGCGTCCACGTCTAATGCAACGCAGGTGAGTCCGTCCACCGGGTACTTCTTGGGTGTTTAGATGCCTGTTGAAAATGGGTCCTCAATCGGCCGGGCACGATGGCTCACACCTGTAATCCCAGCACTTTGGGAGGCCGAGGTGTGCGCATCACGAAGTCAGAAGATCGAGACCATCCTGGCTAACAAGGTGAAACCCCGTCTCTACTAAAAATACAAAAAATTAGCCGGGCGAGGTGGCGGGCGCCTGTAGTCCCAGCTATTCGGGAGGCTGAGGCAGGAGAATGGCGTGAACCCAGGAGGTGGAGCTTGCAGTGAGCTGAGATCCCGCCACTGCACTCCAGCCTGGGCGACAGAACAAGACTCTGTCTCAAAAAAAAAAAAAAAGAAAACGGGTCCTCAATCAAGGAGCGACCCCCAGAGTGAGCGCCACGCCTGAGGCTCGGAGCAGGGTCACCTCCTCCTTTCAAACAGGAATCTATGCTGAGGCTGGAGCCTCTTTAGACCCACGTGGCCCCACAGCCCACAAAACTGAGGCTGACCCCAGGGCTTGAGCTAAAGGAAACAGTCACGCATATCACCTGTTGCTGTCAGAGGACTTGTGAGAAGCCGCCTTGTTTCCAGTGCTGTCAGAGCCCAGGTGATTCTCTAGTAAATGCTTTGCCAGGAAACCTGGAGGTTTCTTCCTTCGGGATTGCTTCTTTGTGGGTTTCAAACAGACTAGAATAAAAAGCCTGCTACGGAAAATTGACATCATAATTAAAGGCCCAGAGGTCGGTGTGAGACTGGCATGAGGGGCAGAGGAGGGACATGGGGCCCCCCCGGAGTCTCCGACCACTCCCAGGCTCAAGAGTTCCCTCTGAGGACTCACAGGGGTGAGTAGAGCTGTCGGACACATGGCTACAATTATGCCAGTGAGCAGACACTGATGAAAATCAGGAACAGGACAAGATGCACAGGGCAGGGCTGTCCAGGAGACGTCAGAGCTGCCAGCCGTCCTCTCCCCGTGGAGCCCTGCGGCGCACTGGCTTCTCCCGGTGACGGTGTGCACCAGCTCGCGTGGAGTATCGCCCACCAGGGAAGCTCGCCTGAGCATTGGCGTCCACAGTTTTACTGGGGGTTTATCATGTGTACATGGTGGCCTCGGTGTCCAGCCCCTCCAGAGGTGGAGCCATCCTGTGTGGCCCGAGACCCCCAGCATAAATCATGTCGTTTGCCTAGACTGGCCAGCAGGGCCCAAGGCCCCCGGCTAGACAAAGGCGCTCTCACCGGGCACAGCATGCCAAGGGCCTCTCGGCTGCTGCAAAGCTGGGGAAAAGGCCAGACCTCTCTTTGGACAAGGTTGAACCTTTCCTGAACAGCTGTCCTCCCCACAGGAGGAACCGGAGTACAGAGGCTCATCTGCTGGGCCGAGGTAGCTAAGGGCAATGTGGGGGTCCCACAGTCAACCCAGGACCTCCCTAACTCAAAGCTCTTCCCGCTACACAGCAAGAAGAAGGGACTTCCCAGCTAAATGGCGATGTCTGCTTTCCAGTGAATCTGAGAAAGGAGAGGCTTCCAGAGTGAGAATAACTTGCAGAGGAGAAGGAATAGAACCTGCCTTCAGAATGTGAACCACTCCCTGTAACTCAGAGATAAAACAATCCCATACCTTGAAGTGGCTTGGAGATGAGCGTTCTTTTATATCAACATTAAATACATATGGGTATACCTAGCTTTATTTCCCCCCCTCAACTTAGAGTGTGAATGTGTGGTAAGCGTGTCCATCGCTGGCTAAGCATCTTGTATGGTCTAATTGGCAATAAGTAGGGGAGTGGGGGCCAGGCGCCGTGGCTCACGCCTGTAATCCCAGCACTTTGGGAGGCCGAGGTGGACGGATCACTTTGGGTTAAGAGTTTGAGACCATCCTGGCCAACACAGTGAAACCTCATCTCTACTAAAAATACAAATGAATTAACCAGGTGTGGTGGTGGGAGCCTGTAATCCCAGTTACTCAGGAGGCTGAGGAAGGAGAATTGCCTGAACCTGGGAGGCAGAGGTTGCAGTGAGGTGAGATCACGCCATTGCACTCCAGCCTGGGTGACAGAGCAAGAGTCCGTCTCAAAAAAAAATAAAAATAAAAATGTAGCTAGGTGTGGTGGTGCACACCTGTAATCCCAGCTACTCAGGAGGCTGAAGCAGGAGAATCACTTGAACTCGGGAGGTGGAGGTTGTAGCAAGCCGAGATCGCGCCACTTCACTCCAGCCTGGGTCACAGAGGGAGACTTCATCTCAAAAAAAAAAAAAAAAATTGTAGGGGAGTGGCAGGTTTTCAGGGAACCCAAGAGCCTGAGTCTTCCTGAATGAGCTCTCCAGCAAGGTGAAAGCCCAGCAGAGTCTCTGGAGGGCAAAAATCTCAGGCAGAAGAAACTTCTGTGACTGCATTCACTCATTCGTAACAAAACACCCGCGGCCCCCCTGCCCCAGCTGAGGATGAGGAAAGCAACCATGACTGCCGCTCTCCCTAGCTGCTTTCTCCAGCCTGGAGACCAGCGCGACTCCATCTCGCCATGAGGAGCTCGGGGTGGGAGTCTCCAGCCTAGAGGCCGGCGCGACTCCATCTCGCCATGAGGAGCTCAGGGTGGGAGGAGGCCTCACGGCCGTGTTAGGCAGCCCGTGGCTTTATGAGTGAGGACAGCCAGGACCACTGAACCCCAATACCCTCCACACTAGTTAGCACAGCAACAGTGTCAGGCAGACCCCAATCTTTCAGCTCCTGGCCCCACACTTGTGTCAATATGGTACCGCGGTGAGACCCTAAATCTGCTCCACCAAAGTTGACCCTGGAACCAGTGTTGGGTTTCTGATGACCAGGAGGACCTGGTGGTTGCCAGGGTCCCTACAGCCAGTCTGCACACCTGCCCCCGGGCACGACAGTGTTTCTATGTCCTCATCAAAACAAGAGAAAAGACGGCTGGGTGAGGTGGCTCACGCCTGTCATCCCAGCACTCTGGGAGGCTTAGGTGGGAAGATAGCTGGAGCCTAGGGGTTCAAGACCAGCCTGGGCAACATAGTGACACTGACCCTGTCACTACCAAAAAAAAAAAAAATTAGCTGGGTGTGGTGACGCCTGCCTGTAGTCCCAGCCATATGAGAGGCTTGAGGTGGGGTCACTTGAGCCCAGGAGACTCAGGCTTCATTGAGCCATGCACTTCAGCCTAGATGACAGAGCAAGACCCTGACTCAAAAACAAAACAAGAGAAAAGAGCAATGGAATGGTTCCTCTGGAAACTCAATTTGAAGAAGGATCCTTTTTCTGACATGCTCTTCCTCCACTTTTAGCATGGAAATATACCTTTGGAAATGGCAAGTGTAAATACTAGTGTCTTTTATAATTCTCCACTTGAAAAAAATTGGCAATACCATTTTAAAATTTAAATAGTACGATAATGCTGACCAGCTTCCAGACCTATGAAATCCCAATTTCTAGGAACCCCGGTCTAGTTCAAACCCTGGTTTTACAGAAAATGAAATAGAGAAAGGAAAGCCCCATAACTGGTGAGCCAGCCCCTGTTGTGTATCTGCTAAGATCTCACAGAGTTAGCTGGGCGTGGTGGCTCATGCCTGTAATCCCCGCACTTTGGGAGGCCAAGGCAGGTGGATCACTTGAGATCAGGAGTTTGAAACCACCCTGGCCAACATGGTGAAACCCTGTCTCTACTATATAAAAAATTATCTGGGCATGATGGTGCACCCCGGTAGTCCCAGCTACTCGGGAGGCTGAGGCAGGACAATCACTGGAGACAGAGGTTTCAGTGAGCTGAGATTGTGCCACTGCACTCCAGCCTAGGTGACATAGTAAGACTGCATCTCCAAAAAAAAACTCACCAAGTTGTATGTTGGCGGGTAGTACTTTATCTTGACTACCATTTGGTTTCTTTCTAGGTTGTGAATTTTTTGAAAGTCTAGGAAAGTGCACATTTGAAAGATTTATTTGAGACAGGCAATGGATCTCATATAGAAATGTTTTACTTTACCAAGTAAAAATTCAGATATTTCTTACATAGAAAATATTTCCCGTATTAAAAAGCTAAATTTTGGCCGGGCATGGTACCTCATGCCTATAATCCCAGCACTTTGGGAGGCCAAGGTGGACATATCACAAGGTCAAGAGATCGAGACCATCCTGGCCAACATGGTGAAACCCCGTCTCTACTAAAAATACAAAAATTAGCTGGGCGTGGTGGCAGACACCTGTAGTCCCAGCTACTCGGGAGGCTGAGACAGGAGAATCACTTGAACCCGGGAGGCAGAGGTTTCAGTGAGCTGAGATCGCGCCACTGCACTCCAGCGTGGGCGACAGAGCAAGACTCCATCTCAAGAAAAAAAAAAAAAAAAGCTAAATTTCTCAGAATACTTGAGAAAAGATCTTTGGAATCACCTTCAGTCTGCCATACAGGATGTACCAGAAATGCTCTGTCATGTATAGTCACACATTTTCTACTTTTAAAAAAGTGCCCTAGAATAAATAAGAAGTAGCCAGGCTTGGTGGCTCACAGCTAGTAATCCTAACACTTTAGGAGGCCAGGGTGGGTCGATTGCTTGAGGCCAGGAGTTCAAGACCAACCTGGCCAACATGGCAAGACCCTGTCTCTTTAAATAAAAAAAATAATAATTTTTTTTTTAAAAATAAGAAGTACCCATGTTTTCCACCAGTTGACTTTGAAAAACTAGGGTGTCAAAACTCAAATCCGGCTGGGCATGGTGGCTCATGCCTGTAACCCCAGCACTTTGGGAGGCCAAGATGGGCAGATCCCTTGAGCCCGGGAATTTGAGACCAGCTTGGGCAACATGGTAAAAGCCTGTATCTACAAAAAAATACATAAAAATTAGCCAGGCATGGTGGCACATACCTGTAGTCCCAGCTACGCAGGAGGCTGAGGTGGGAGGAACACCTGAGCCTGGGAAATCAAGGCTGCAGTGAGCCAAGATTGCGCCACTGCACTCCAGCCTAGGCGACAGAGTGAGAACTTGTCTCAAAAAAAGAAGAAGAAAAAATCAAATCCAACCCCCTTGGTGAGGATTTGACCCAAATGAAGACAGTGAAAAGAATTTCAATCAACAGGTATCTGTGGGGTGGCACATGTGGGCACTGGGGACTCAGTATGCCCTGGACAGTATCACCCTCTTGGTAGACAGAGCGGACACCCACAGCATAGAGGGGTCAGTGCTAGCAGCATGGGTCACACCTGCCCACCCGCCCCCGGCCCAGTCCCTGTGATCTTCTTCACCTCAGGAACTGACATCACCACCCAGCAGACTCACCAAGCCAGAAACCCGGAGGTTGGCCATGATTCTTCCCTTCCTAGGATTCTTAGATCCTAGAGACTGCACCTTAGCCTAGCCTTTCTCTCCTGCCCCGGCCCCGCCCCTTCCCTAGTCTGCAGTGACAGCTTTCTCTCCAGAACATGTTAAAATAGAGATCACGTCGCCCTCTTGCTTAAAACCCTCGAGTGGCTTCACATGGCACTTAAATAAAGCCTGAGTCCCTCCCCACACTGACCTCTGCAGCCATGGCCAGCCGTGCTCCCACTGGTCCATCGTTGATTTCTGCTTCTCACCCACCAACCTCCTTCCTGCCCCAGGGCCTTCACACACGCTGTCACTGTCACTTCCTACTTCTAGCTCCCAAAGTGACGGCGCTGACTGTTTTCAACGGCAGGTCTAAAATGCAATGGTTTCTCTCGAAAGGGGCTTTCTCTGACCACCCTCCTGAAATTGGGAATCCCCCATCCCCTTACTCTCTATCAGGGCACCCTATTTTCATCAGAGCCCTGGTACAATTTGTAATTTCATTTATTTCTTAGTAGAGGGCCTCCGCCACGAGGCAGGGAGCTCCTCTGCTTTTTCATGGAGGTGGCCCCAGTGCCCAGCTCCATCCCTGGTGCAGACGGGACAGCTTGCTCAGCTTGTGAAGTGAATGAGACGTGAAGAGCAGGATGCACACCCCGTAGTGACTGTGCCTGAAGGGGGCAGAACCATGGGAGGACATTCGCTCATCCCAATGTCTATGGAGCGTGCCAAGCAATGACAGCGGTGAACCCAATGCAGACGCCCCAGTTTCCATGTCCTGAGACAGTCCAGTGAGTCAGGCTCCATGGCAGGAAGCCGGCATCGCAGTGGGGAGAGGCTAGGGCACTGCAGGGAGGCTTCCCACTGGGCTTCCCCTGATGAAAGCAGAGAATGCCCCAAGCAAGAGAATGCATTCAAAGACCTGAAGATGAAGGAGGCTGGAAGATTTGCCAGGGTTTGGCTGACAGAGTGGCAAAGAAAAACAAAACAAGGAAAAAATACTTATGACAATTAGATACATACAAAAGGCTTCACAGGTAAATCTTTCCAATCCTTTTTTTTTTTTTTTTTGGAGATGGAGTCTCCCTCCCTTGCCCAGGCTGGAGTCCAGTGGCATGATCTGGGCTCACTGCAACCTCCGCCTCCCAGTTCACACCATCACACCGTTCTCTTGCCTCAGCCTCCCGAGTAGTTGGGACTACAGGCGCCCGCCACCACACCTGGCTAATTTGTTTTGTATTTTTAGCGGAGACGGGGTTTCACCGTGTTAGCCAGGATGGTCTGGATCTCCTGACCTTGTGATTCGCCCGCCTCGGCCTCCCAAAG